GATCACACGTCTTGTAATTCTTAGAACCGATGAAATCGCAGGAAAGGAACCCAACTGAATAATACATTTAATTTAGAGAGCTCCTTTAGGTCATCGGAAGTCACCACCTCCTCAGTCACCACTCTTGACGGTTAACCATATATAAGGGAGACCAGGGCAAGAGCTCAGCAGACGGTTAGAAATATTCGAGACGCTCAGAGGCAGGTCGTAACACCACTCACACCATCTTGTGCTTATAAAATTGTATTCTTGTACGAGTTAATTGTATTAAATAAAGACTTAATCTTTTAACTTGCAAACATTAGTATTTCTATTTCTACGTTGATATATGTATCGACGTTGACATAACGGACGCAACAATATTCTCAAATCTGTCAATATTGATGACGCTGTTAACCATCTAATCAAATCAATACAAGATTCAGCTTGGTCTTCCTCCTTTCCACTTCCTCCTAAAGACCACGCTAAGAACTTACCCCTACATATTAGGGTCCTAATTTCAGAAAAACGAAAAGCCCGATCTATCTGGCAAAGAACTAAATACCCCTCTGATAAACGTAAATTTAACAACCTCGCGAATAAACTAAAACGAACATTGGTCTCAATTAGATCAGAAAACTTTACGAGGAATCTTGCTTCCCTATCTACTGCTGATAATTCACTGTGGCAAACCACAAGAAAAATACTCCGCTCCCGACCTCATGTACCTCCTCTGAAAAAATCTGATGTTTCATGGGCCATCACTGATCTGGAAAAAGCAAATCCAAATCGAAATAGTAAACCGCTCCCTACTCTGCGCTCTACCTATGACCCTTCCACCTAAATATATTCGCCCGAGCGAAGTTGAACACGCAATACAACAATCTTCTCGTCGTAAAACCCCAGGCTATGACCTAATTACATCTGAAGTAGCAGTGAAGTTACCCAAAAAAGCTTTACTAATGCTCACGCACATATATAATTCTATGCTGAGGCTCTCATATTTTCCAGTCCTATGGAAGTTCTCTGTTATTATCATGATTCTCAAGCCAGGAAAACCACCAGACTCTCCTAAATCTTATAGGTCAATCAGCCTTCTTCCATTATTTTCAAAAATCTTTGAAAAAATTATTCTAAAGCGCATCCTACTCGTCATTGAATCTAACCTGCCTAACAACCAATTTGGTTTTCGTCATAATCACTCAACCATTCACCAGATCCATCGCCTAGTTGATAACATATCCTACGCTCTGGAAAAAAAGCTAATATGCACAGGTGTATTCCTCGACGTGGCGCAAGCTTTTGACACCGTCTGGCATGAGGGCCTCCTCCTTAAGCTTAAAACTTTTCTCCCCCCCCCCTACTACTATTTGCTGTTTAAATCCTACCTTAAAGACAGACACTTCTCTGTCCATTCAGGATCTGCTATATCTGAAATATTCCCGATCTGTGCTGGTGTTCCCCAAGGAGCAGTTGCAGCTCCATAACTATTCAATCTATACACATCTGATCAACCTACTACTGACTATACTATAACTGGGGACTTTGCCGACGATAAGGCACTCTTGGCTCTCCACACAAACCCCGAAACTGCCTCAAACTTCATCCAAAACCACCTAAATCTCCTATCAATATGGTATAAAGACTGGGGGATAAAAGTCAATGAAACCAAATCCGTTCACTGTACATTCACGCTTCGGCAAGCTGTTTGCCCTCCTGTGTACCTTAATCACCTTCCACTTCCATCTGCCCAAAACGGCTTGCTCTAAATAATCGGACTCGTCAATTACACTTTCTATTAACATCAAAACATCTAAATCTTAAAAATAAACTTCTCTTATACAAATTACTTCTCAAACCAATATGGACATATGGCATCCAACTATGGGGTGCTGCCAAACCCTCCAATATTAATAAAATCCAAACTTTTCAATCAAAATGTCTTCGAAAAATAACTAATGCCCCATTTTATGTCTCTAATGATACTCTCCATAAAGATCTTTCCATCTAAACTGTCAAAAACGTTGCCAAGTCCTTCTACAAACGCATGCACACCAATCTTCGCAATCACCACAATCCCTTGATTTCAGAACTATGTATTCCCACTATTCCTGGTGACCCCAGAAGGCGACTAAAACGAACGTGGTGTCGTGATTTACTTTTAGACTAACCTCTACCAACACATGTCATGAAGTCCCATCAATGGATGGTCTCTTCTCTCACGCCCCCTGTCTGAATTGTTAAATAATTGTAATTACCGGATTTTTGTGCAGCTAAAATCTAAAAAATGGGCAATTAGAATGTTAAAATGTGCAAAAACGTGCAAAAACAAATTTTTCATTATAGGTACTTCAAATTTTAATTTTAATAAGTAATAACTAATAACTGACTTTACAATATTTGATTAAAATTTATAATCATGTACATTTCCAAGTTTTTTTCTTTAAAATTATGTCTTCTGTCACTTAATATATTTTTTAACTGCGAAAACACGTTCTACGTCGACACTTGTTATCGGGCATTGTTTGTAGCAGCTTATAATAGCAGGATCTTCTTTTAAATCTACATAATTTTCATTGATTAAATTGTTGTACAGTTTTAAAATATTGTAGTTCGGCCGTAGCGTTCATCATGAACACACGTACGCTGCATCGTATATCGTATACACTCCGTTATCGCCGCGCGCGCTCATTAGTAACCTATTTCGGTCATTATTAACTATCAGTTCCAATAGTATATAATATTACAATAACAATAGTTATGAAGAACAACGAACAAATAGCCGGTTCCGCTTTACCGCGTACACCAAAAACCATAAAACGAAACCTGTCAACTTCGTCAACTTCGCCAAGCCAAAACGACAAAAAATCAAAAGTCTATGTTTCACCAAATCGTTATGCCCTACTCTCCACTGATAACACCGACGACATATCATCTACTATGCCATTAACCAACCTCAAGGATGATTCTGCGAACCAGCCTCATACTGAACGAGACATGGGGCCCCCAGCTCCACCTATCTATATCAAGAATATTACCAACTACTCCGCTTTCAATAAGCTCCTAACAAACATCACCAACTCAAATGGCTTTACCTGTAGGTCAACGCCGTCACACCTCATCGTGCAATCAACAAGTCGCATAAACTTTAATAAAATCATAGACCACCTACACGAAACTAATGCTAGTTTTCATTCATACACCCCCCGACACCTTCGCACATACAGGGTCGTTATCAGAAACCTGCACTTTTCTACCTTAAGTAATGACATTGTCGGTGCTTTGACTGAATTGGGACACTCAGCCAAACACATATACAACGTCAAAAATAAAAACAAATGTCCCCTACCATTATTCTTTGTGGATATTTTAAAGCAAGACAATAATAAAGACATCCTAGACATTAAGTTCCTACTCAACACTAAGGTATTGATTGAGAAACCACACAAAAAGAGACGTGGCCCACCACAATGTCACAACTGTCAATCCTATGGACACACGCGAAATAACTGCTGCCACGAACCAAAATGCGTTAAATGTGGTGAAAACCACCTTACAATAGAATGTCCTAAAGACCGACATAGTCCCGCCAAATGTGCACTTTGCACTAAGGAACATACTGCCAACTTCAAAGGATGCCAAGTCTTCAAAGCTGCCTTCAAAAAAACCGTCCATCCAGCCAAGATCCCTGATTACAACAACACCAACACCAACAACTATCAAAAAACCAAATCCTACGCTGAAGCCACCAAAACTCATCAAAACCTACACTCGGAACTCAAAACCACCGACGCTCTCTCAAGTTTAATATCAAATTTAAACTCACTAATTAGCCCCCTTATCTCCCTTCTTTCATCATTCCTAAACGCACTCACAGCTAATAGCTCTCCATAATCTTATCGTCCAGACAATCCATATTAAAATTAATTAACTTATATAATATCTTATCTCATTTCCTTTTCCCATTATATTATTTAAAAATATCTATACCTAATCAATTACCATTCGACTCAACTAACACAACATAATATTCTATAAAATTATATAATGTTTATACTTGTAATAGCATCTTGTATGCTGAGACATTTTAATATATTACATAAAAAAAAAAAAAAAAAAATATTGTATCCGGAAAAAATTCCTGTTTTTTTTGATAAAAATATCAAATACTGATTTGAATTTTTCATATAGTATTTGTCCCTATAGACTGCAGTAGTACTGTATGTGTATACTGAATATGTAATCGATAATCTATCGACTATCGTAGTAAGGTACCTTAGTCATTATCTTAATTACTTCGTATTACATGGTTGTATATATATATAATTATATTGTTAGATATAAAAGTCCAATACTTTGTATAACAACATAATATAGCATCGATAAAAATAATACAAAAATACAAAAATATTTGTAAAAAAGTACATTTTTATAAAAAAAAACCCGAAACGTGCAATTTTGTGCAACATAAAACTTTCTTTAAATTAATCTACATCTCTTGATTTGGATTTGTAGCTTGTTTCTATTGAATTTAGAACACGCCATAAAAAGATGCAATTACACGGGAATCCGGTCTTTAGTAATGATGTATATTTACGTCATACGTAATTCACACCCTGGAGGAAAGACGTAAATTTACGTCGTGCGTTCTTTAGTCCTAATAGTAATGACGTAAATATACGTCGTTACTATTTAAGATATACGGTTATAATTAAATATAAGTAGACAACTAACGCATTTGTTCTATTAACTTTTATTATAAATATTTTATTCTTCCTTGAATAAATTAAAAAAAAAATAACAATACAAATTAAACTTAAAAAAATTAAACTATAACAAAATTTAATTAGATACCTAGTATAAAATGACCTTTATATAGAATGACAAATTCTTGTACAAAAAAAAAATAAAAAAGATAATTATATAAAGTGTTACTTAGATAAAAACGAAGTTTTTAAAAATAAAATACCTAATAAGTATGTAATTACAAATTAATATACTAATCTATTGTGATATTCTTTAAAACAGGGTTCCAAACATAGCGGTGTATTGCAGTCAACGCATTCATATGAAGTATCTTTCCTTATGCGAGGTTTCAAATTTGTTAACATATGCACATGACATCTCTTTTGACAACTTTTTTTACCATCTTTATCAGTCTTTATTTTGGAAGGGAAATGACCGGAAGTTAGTCGTAAAGAGTGATCTCCTTTTATTTTTCGACCTCTACGTCCAGATGACACTAAAATATCAGTGTTTGAGTGTACTTGAATCATTTGTTTTATCACATTTAATCTAAATTCTGGTAACTTTAATTTTTTTCCTAAAATAGAGTTATATCCAATGCCAGAATTCAATACCGAAAGGTCTAATAAATGAAAAAAAAACTTCTTGTACCACTTAATAGTTTTTCTTGCACTGTTATTAAATTAAATTTGCATATCAGATTTGTCAACAAGTCCCATATTGACATTATATTCTAATATATATTGAGGTTTTTTTATTTTATTACCAGAGCGATCACACTTATTTATAGATACCATTTTAGGTATATGGACAGTAGACAAAATATGAACATCTCGCTTATCTTTCCATTTACAAGCCATAATATTTGGATTTTCAGAAATAGCAGATATAAATTGACCTTTTGACAATTTTTTTTGGGAAAACTGGCATCCCTTTTTTTCTTTCCTTTACAGTATCACAAGCCCCGGTTTTATGTTCAAGTAAATATTCATACAGTGTTGGAGATGAATACCAGTTATCAATGTATAATATGTGACCTTTATTAATATATGGGCTCATTAATGTTGAAATAACTGAACTAGATTGTGATAGAGATTCATTAAAATCAATATGTTGGTTATCTCCAGTATAAACTAAAAAGTCTAGGACAAAACCTGACTTACAATCACATAAAACAAATAGTTTTATTCCAAACCGGTGTCTCTTTGATGGTATATATTGTTTAAATGTTAGGCGACCTTTCCATTCTACAATACTTTCATCTATACAAAGATTTTGATGTGGTATAAATATTGACTTAATTTTTTTTTTTAGAGTTTCCACAACTGTTCCAATCTTTACTAGTCTATTGCCAGGACATGGGTTTCGGTTATCACTAAAATGTAACAGTCTTTGTAATAAACAAAATCTATCTTGAGACATTACTCTACCAAAAAATGGTGTTTCTATTATAGGATCAGTAGACCAGTAATCTATCAAATTATTTTTTTTTAGGTGTGCCATCAAAAGGTTAAGACCTATAATTTATAAATATATACATCTCATTAAAATCAGTATCCTTCCATAAATTAAGTTTAGAATGTTGTTTTAATTACTTATTATTGACTAGAAAGTAATAAAATTTGTTAGTTTCTTCTACAATGTGTTAAACTAAATCCTCATCAAAAATAAGTTTAGATAAATCAAGTTCAGTAAAATCCATTGCAAGGTCATCAATAAAATGTTTATTTACTCCACATTGAGAAGTGTCAAAATCAAATGATGTAGCTTTGTAATTAAATTTTTGTTCTTCATTAAAATTCCAACTACCAGAAAAATGTTTGGGTAAATCTTTCTTTCTTTTCTTTGGTATTTTGGTTCTTTTCTTTGCACTATTAGAAGTATCATATTTGTTTCTAGAATAGTTATCTAACAAAATAGGATTAAATCTCAAGAATATAAGTAATACATTGATTTTGATTATCATGATATTGAGTATCAGAATCATCATAAAGCACAAAATTATCATCAAAAACAATTGGCATTTTCTCCAAATTAAAAAGTTCTGAATCTAGTTCAGCACAAGTTGTCAAATCTAGAGAACTCAAGTAATTATTATATTTATCATGTGTAACCGAATTATCATCTGAATTAAGAACTTGTACTCCTGAGGTGGAAGCATGATGATAATTATCAGTTTTATCATCGTAAAAAGAATTTTTTTTTTGGAAATACTAGAATTAGAACTTGGCAATATATCTTTTTTACCATAGATTTCATGTTTATCTATACTAGATTTAAAACGTTTCTTAATCGTTTCTAAGAATTCTACATGATTTAATTCAGAATCTGAGCTACAACTAGAACTACCCGAAGAAGAAAATGACGTATCAATATCCGATTCATAACTAGTAATAATTTCTGAAATTTGTGATTCAGTTAGTTTTCTAGAGTTCATTTTGATCAATCGTTTACAAAAAGCAAATTAAATAAAATCACAAATTTAAATCATAAATACTTAATTACGACACAATTGTTATACTTGTAACTTCGGTAATAACATAATATACCAATAACAATTATCATATTTTGTATTGTCATAATCAAATATAAATAATAAAATATTTTTAATCATAATATCTTTCAAATAATTGTACTTGTACCGTCATAATCATTTTTTATAATTATTGTAATAAAAAATATAAATTAGACAGTATAGGCAACCTCTAAACATACGGAAAAAAATAATTGTAATAAATCACAGATATATAAAAATACTAGATAGCCGACTGCCATACGTTTTACATACAGAATTATGTCTCCAACAAAATGGCCGATAATCGTTATCTAAGAGGTGACTGTTTACAAATTAAACTGATATGATAAATGATAAGACACTATTTTGGAGGGATATAGTATTTTAAATTTTATAGAAACGAAAAACTTCAGAAAATTTTTTGTCTGAATAGTGTAAGCTCAGAAACTTTTATTGTAGAAAATGTATTTGCTTGGAACTAAAATTTGGAACCATTTAATATTTTACTGTATGTATTTGAATAAAACAATATTATGGTAATTGTGAGCTATTTATAACTATTAAGAATCCCAAACGATTATCAAACATAATAAATCTTAATAAAAATAATAATTAAATATATGCATTGTGTTATTATTTTATAACATGCCAAACATTACTCATACACCAACATTATTAATGCACATATTAAGCATGTTGTTTTTTAATTTTATAAATATAAATTATGATTAATGTACAGGAACGGTATAATTATTAATATTTTTTAAATATATATCTATTACTATGGTTTATTATTGCTGTGCTTGGGGCTGTTCAAATAAAAGAATACCAAACAGTGGTATTCATTTTTTTGCGTAAGTATATTTATAAAAACTAACATCAATTATGAAACTTTACAAACAAAATATTTCTAATATTTTCAGTTTCCCTTTAAAAAATAAAGAGCGTACTAACAAATGGTTAGAAAATATTAAAAGAAAAGGGTTTGTTCCAATTAAGTATAATAGGTTGTGTAGTAAGCATTTTCTCCCTCATGATTTTTTAACTTATAATAAAGAAAATAGTCGTTTACGTTTAAATGATAACGCAATACCATCAGTATTTAATTCATCAAATGAAGAAATTCATTGCCAAAGCTTAATAGAAAATGATGGAGTTGAGGTAGAAGATCCTCTTGATCTTAGTATGCCTAAGTTACATGAAGAATATCCAATCACACCTCAGAGATCTGATGTATTGGTCAGTGAAATTATTACAACACCAAAAACATCTACTATATTATTTTCAGAACTTCATATTAAACCTAAGAATACATATATATTCATATAGAATACCCAAATTAGGAAGACCCAAGAACTCAGCTGTTACTCAAAAAACAAAAAAAAACAAAACAAAGCTTAAAACAATACAAAAAAGAGTACTTAGACTAAAAACAAAAGTTAATAACTTAAAAGAACTTTTACAAAATATAAAAGAGAAAGGATTAATTGAAGAAAATGGTTATAATGTTATATTAGAAGATTTTGATGGCATGTCTTGTGAAATTTTCAAGAATCAGCTAAAAAACAAAAATAATAAAGTTAAAGGTCGAAGATATAGTGATGAGCTTAAAAAATTTGCACTTACCTTGAATTATTATTCTCCAAAAGCTTAAAAGTACTGTCGGTTAGTATACATTTTGAAAATTCATTATATTAAATAATATTTATATTATTTTGAATACAATTTATTTTTCAGCACAATATTTAAATTTCCTCATCCAACAGCACTACGATCATGGACTTCATCTGTAAATGGAGAGCCCGGTCTTTTCTCTGAAGTTTTTCTTTACTTAAAAACTCTAGATACAGAAAACAAGGAATGTAATCTTGTTTTAGATGCAATGTGTATAAAAAAACAAGTGATCTGGGACAAACAAGCACATAAATTCATAGGATACTGTGATTATGGTGGAAATCTTACAGTTGAAATTAGTGAAACAGCAGCCACGGAAGCATTAGTTTTTAAGCTTGTAAGTTTAAATGGCAAATGGAAACTACCAATTGGATATTTCTTTCAAAATAAAAGTAATGCTGTGCGACAAGCAGAATTAATTAAAACAGCACTTACACTGTCTCATCAATCAGAATTAAAAGTAAGAGGTATAACTTGTGATGGGGCATTAACAAATTTTTCAACATTGAAAATTTTGGGATGTGAATTTGGTGAGGGATTTAATAATATCAAATCTTGGTTTAGTCATCCTATTGATGGGTCCCAAATTTTTTTTATACCTGATGCATGCCATATGATAAAGTTGGCACGCAATACATTAGGAAATTCTTTAGTTTTAGAAACTGATACTGGTCATATTAAATGGTGTTATTTTGAATATTTACACGAGATTCAATCAAATTTATCTTTAAAATTTGCAGTCCAACTTTTAAGCTCATCAACAGCTAAGGCAATGCAATACTTAAAAGATAACAATTATAACCAGTTTAAGGATAGTGATGAAACTATTGTTATTTGCCAAACAATAGATCAATTATTTGATTTTTTAAATTCCAGAAATCCATTTTCAAAAGGTTATAAAAGCCCTATTTTTAAATCAAATTTAACATTTTTTAAATCTAAATTTATTCCTTTTATTAAATTTTTATACAGTCTCAAACATAAAAACAAACTGCTTTTCACTACAAATAAAAAAACATTTATTTTAGGGTTTGCAATTGGTGTAAAATCAATGTTTAAAATAGCTACAAAAATATTTACCGAAAATTTAAACTTTAAGTACATCTTAATCTATTATTTTTCTCAGGATCATATTGAATTATTATTTGGACGTATACATCAAAGGTATGGAGCAAATAATAATCCTAATGTGATCCAATTTAAAACTGCAATAAAACAAATATTATTAAAAAATTCTATTACATGTTCTACAAACAATAATTGCAACACTTTTGATGAAGACATAATATCTACAATTTTCCCATTTAAATGGAATAAAAATAAACATAATATACTACCTTTAGCAGTAACTGATGGAGATAATGAAGTTGATAAAATGGAGATTTTAAATACATGTGATTTATTGAATTATACAAATTCTAGTTATGAAGACTGCAAAAAAAAAATATTGTTTATTATATTACTGGGTATGCAATTAAAAAAATTATTTTAATGTTAGATTGTAATATAGGCCAGTCAAATTAGGATTAAATTCGGAATTAATTAGTGGAAAGCTGGAAATTGTTTTAATTGCTTAAGTATAAGTCTAGTATTAGGGAAACGTGTTTCCCCCCCCTCAGAGGTCGGCGTTGGCCACCATCTTGAAAAAACAGCTCTAAAATCGGAGTTTTTTTAGTTTTTTGATAATTATTCAAAAACGATGAGTTTTATGAAAAAATGTCATCTGGTCTAAAATATAGAACGTTAAATTTTCTACAAAATCAAGTCCAAAAATAATGAGATCGGTCTAATATGAAGGTTCGGTTCATAAATGACGTTAAAAAAGTACGTTCTTTGAAGTTTTTTAAAAAAAATTGATTTTTTTTTTAGTTTTTTTAATTTTTTTTGAAATCCGTCAATTTTACGACAAAAAGTCATAACCTACAATTTTTAGAAATTATAATTGTACGTCGAACAGTGTTATATTCATTAATTTTGAGTAAGTATCAAGGTCAATAATAGACTTTGAATTTCGACTCTCAAATCACCGGTTACAAATGTAGGTGTTGCAATACGTTTGTAACAAATTCGTATGTAATTTATCGTGAAAAAAACCAATCAATATTTACTCCTTTATACTTACTTATAAATATAGTTAAAATATTTTGAGTATAGTTACTAAGAAAATAATATTATGCAATTAAATAATAATATGTCATATTTTATGTATAGTAGTAACGTGTAACATTTTATA